TCAGAAACAACAGTGATCTCTTCTTTGAAGGTTTCTTCAACTTCTGGTTGAGTCTCTTCAGAACCTTCAGAAACAACAGTGATCGCTTCTTTGAAGGTTTCTTCAACTTCTGGTTGAGTCTCTTCTGGACCTTCAGGGGCAACAGTGATCTCTTCTTTGAAGGTTTCTTCAACTTCTGGTTGAGTCTCTTCAGGACCTTCAGAAACAACAGTGATCTCTTCTTTGAAGATTTCTTCAACTTCTGGTTGAGTCTCTTGAGGACCTTCAGGGACAATAGTAACCTCTTCTTTGAAGGTTTGTTCAACTTCTGGTTGAGTCTTGTCAGGACCTTCAGAAACAACAGTGATCTCTTCTTTGAAGGTTTCTTCAACTTCTGGTTGGGTCTCGTCGGGACCTTCAGAAACAACAGTGATCTCTTCTTTGAAGGTTTCTTCAACTTCTGGTTGAGTCTCTTCGGGACCTTCAGGAGCAACAGCGATCTCTTCTTTGAAGGTTTCTTTAACTTCTGGTTGAGTCTCTTCAGTACTTTCAGGAGCAACAGTGATCTCTTCTTTGAAGGTTTCTTCAACTTCTGGTTGAGTCTCTTCAGGACCTTCAGAAACAACAGTGATCACTTCTTTGAAGGTTTCTTCAACTTCTGGTTGAGTCTCTTCAGGACCTTCAGGAGCAACTGTGGTGATCTCTTCTTTAAAGGTTTCTTCAACTTCTGGTTGGGTCTCGTCGGGACCTTCAGCAGCAACTGTGATCTCTTCTTTGAAGGTTTCTTCAACTTCTGTTTGAGTCTCTTCAGGACCTTTAGAAACAACAGTGATCTCTTCTTTGAAGGTTTCTTCAACTTCTGGTTGAGTCTCTTCAGGACCTTCAGGGGCAACAGTGATCTCTTCTTTGAAGGTTTCTTCAACTTCTGGTAGAATCTCTTCAGGACCTTCAGAAACAACAGCGATCTCTTCTTTGAAGGTTTCTTCAACTTCTGGTTGAGTCTCTTCTGGACCTTCAGGGGCAACAGTGATCTCTTCTTTGAAGGTTTCTTCAACTTCTGGTTGAGTCTCTTCAGGACCTTCAGGAGCAACAGTGATCTCTTCTTTGAAGGTTTCTTCAACTTCTGGTTGAGTCTCTTCAGGACCTTCAAGAGCAATAGTAACCTCTTCTTTGAAGATTTGTTCAACTTCTGGTTGAGTCTTGTCAGGACTTTCAGAAACAACAGTGATCTCTTCTTTGAAGGATTCTTCAACTTCTGGTTGAGTCTCTTCAGGACCATCAGGGGCAACAGTGATCTCTTCTTTGAAGGTTTCTTCAACTTCTGGTCGAGTCTCTTCAGGACCTTCAGGAGCAACAGTGATCTCTTCTTTGAAGGTTTCTTCAACTTCTGGTTGAGTCTCCGCGGGAACTTCAGAAACAACAGTGATCTCTTCTTTGAAGGTTTCTTCAACTTCTGGTTGAGTCTCTTCAGGACCTTCAGAAACAACAGTGATCTCTTCTTTGAAGGTTTCTTCAACTTCTGGTTGAGTCTCTTCAGGACCTTCAGAAACAACAGTGATCTCTTCTTTGAAGGTTTCTTCAACTTCTGGTTGAGTCTCTTCAGTGCCTTCAGGGGCAACAGTGACTTTTTCTTTGAAGGTTTCTTCAACTTCTGGTTGAGTCTCTTCAGGACCTTCAGGAGCAACAGTGATCTCTTCTTTGAAGGTTTCTTCAACTTCTGGTTGAGTCTCTTCAGGACCTTCAGGAGCAACTGTGATCTCTTCTTTGAAGGTTTCTTCAACTTCTGGTTGAGTCTCTTCAGGACCTTCAGAAACAACAGTGATCTCTTCTTTGAATATTTCTTCGACTGGTTGAGTCTCTTCAGTACCTTCAGGGGCAACAGTGACCTGTTCTTTGAAGATTTCTTTAGTGACTGTTTCAGTCTTCTCAGTGATATCTGTGTCTATTTTTGATGTATCCAAGTCCTTGTCAATGATGTTTGTGTCAGTAGAAGGTAACTCTTGGTCAGTCTTAGCTAGAGTTTGGTCAATGTCGGTTTCAGATATATCTGAGGGTTTAAGGGAGTCAATGGGTTCAAGGGGGGTTTGGTCTGAATCTAAACTCGAGGGAACAAGATATTGAATATCTTCTGGTTTCTCTTCTTTAATAACCTCAGTTTCTGCTTCTTTGTAGAAAAATAAATAAGAGAGACCTAGACATAGATAAAGCTGAATAGATAGGTGACAAATAACTGAAGGAGACTGAATTCTATGAGTTTAAATATTGAATAGCCAATACCATGCTATAAATAGTTCAAAGTGAAACTTTAGCAACGAGTGAAACATAAACACTGCCATACATATTATACTGCAAAAAAATCAATCCAAGTTCTGTTGATTACAAAATAGAACAAAATTTATTATTAACAAGGCAAGAATTGTGATAGAATTGTGAAATATTAAAAGAAAGAGTATATATTAAATGCCACAATAACAAATTGAAACAAATAACAATTGAACAACAAAGAGTAAAACAGATAGATAACATTACATATAAAAAATATATTATGTTAGGCCAACTCTGCATCTTTACATTCATGATAATGCAAATTTAAGACTTCCACAAGCAAGATATGTAACATAATGTCATAATTTCTTTCTCTATTTTCATATTAATTATGTTGTGATATCTACTGCTATAATATTGCACATAAAAAGATATAAAATTAGCCATTAGAATTCCAAAATCTTGATTCATTTATTGTTAATAATAGCAATTTTCATTCAAACAATGTCAAGACTGGATATAGGTTGACAGATTGAAAATATCCCTATTGGTGTAATGGTTCCTTCCACATCAAATATATCTCTTTGTGGATGTATGCATGTTAAGAACAGTTCAAAACATATAAAGGGATATTAAGTACACTACATATATCCAGTCTTGGATTAAAACAATGATATATACTTAGTTTGTCAGTCAAGCATGAAATAAATAAACACTAAATTTTCAAGCAATTTTTGAGCATCTTTTTTTGGAAACATTTGAAATAGTGCTTTTTGGAAATCTAAATGCAAAGATTCCGAAAGATTTCTTGCCTTAAATCTGTCACATTCTGAATTCTAAATTCAAATTTTTGTCACAAAACATTATTCAAAACTTAAATCTTTTAAAACTTCATAAAATCAAAGATGATCTTTTTTTTTCTAAATTTGGAATAGCAACCATAGTAAGTTCGCCTCCGTTTAAAGAGTCCACGTATAATATTTATTTTGAATTTGAAAAATTTATTTTTTATTTTTAGATTTGTGGATTCTCTTTAAGGGAATGCCTATTAACAAACCGAGGGCAAAAAAATTCATGATTAGTAATTTTCAATCTTGTGACTTTAGTTATTTAGAAATTCATACCCCAATATACCAAGGTTACTTTCAAATTGGAACAAAGTTCTACAATATTGAACATTGTGTTATGTTTGTCTGGCTTAATTCTAATTCTATTTCTACATCTAAATTCTAGAAGAGAAAGGGGCTTATCAAGGGATGTACGGATCATATCATGACAAATTGGACACAAGAGGGGAATATCAGAATAGAGGTAATTTCAAATTTAACTTGTTATATCTGAAGTATCTTTAAGTTAAATTCTACTGCAGGATTCAATATGAAAGAATAACAAATTTGATTGGACTTTGGGAAATCTCTGGGTTCTGAATGGGGTACCTGACTCATGCTGTTTGGTGCATGCAATCGGAGAGTTTTAGGCACAAATGAAAGTAAAGCAAAGAGTGGATGGTGCAAGCTTGTACAATAATATACAATGGGGCAATGAATGGGCGATACTGATGTATCTTAAAGGTGAGAATAGACGAGGTACGATGTCCGGTGTGGTCGTGTGATGCAGAATGAACGACAGTGGCCAAACCCATACCTTGTGTGTTCACTTCTTCCATTTTCGTTTGTATCGATTATTCCGCACCGCACCGCACAAGGCACCAGACACCAGACACCGTCTATTCCCGTCTTTATATAACATGAAATTTCAATGTTACACCATAGTGTTTATACAATATAATGAATTTACTATGATACAATGTAAAATATATAAATATATAAAATTAAGAAAAGTATATTATTTGTATGATAAAGGTTTGAAATTTAGAATATAATAGAGATATTGAATGTTTGAAAGTTGAAATATTGGAAATATGAAATATAATAATTCTGAAAACAACTGACTCTGCTTGATTGTGATATCACTTCAAATTGCATGATCTGGGACATCATTCATTTAACCATAGCAAAGCTATTCAGTTCCTTAGATAAATTAAGATATTGTGAAACATATACAATAAGCAGTTGAAGTAGTTTTAGTGATAGATCAATGCACAAAACAGTTCCATCAATTTGGCTGTTCTTGTCAGTTTTTTTTTGTGAATCATTCAACATTCAAAATTTAAATTTCGATCAAACTCATCCCCAGAGTCCTCTTTATCAAAAAATCTGATGTTGAAAATTTATCGGAAGTGCAAAATTTGGCCCTTGATAATAAACTGTTGTATGATTCAGAGTCAGTAGTTTTCCAGAATTAAGTGTGAAAATCGCTGATGTATATGTAATTGTGTGTAAAATGAAAGTAAGCTTACCTTGGATGTAGAGATCAGCTTTGGTGCTAGCTGTTCCAAAATCATTGATAGCTACACACTCATATTCACCCTCATCCTCTGGGTAGGTTTCTGGAATGTGTAGGATACAAGTTCCATCGCTTTCAATGATTCGTTCAAATTTAGTATCCTCGATGGGTTCTCCATCCAATAACCATTTGATGTCAGGTTGGGGTTCACCAGTCACTACACAGCGGAACTGTACTGGTTTACCTTCTACAGCCTCTATATAGTCCAGTTCTAAATCAATATAAAGAAGTGATAAGAGTTAAGGAATGCCGGCTTAAGGAGTTGAAACCTAGATAGGTATCCATAGCAATGATAGTGTCTTGCCTTATGGACATTTGAAAACTATCAGAGCTTCAAACAAACAGCTATCAGAGATTCAGATAAATAGCTATCAGAGATTCAGATAAACAGCATGAGATTCAGATAAATAGCTATCAGAGATTCAGATAAATAGCTATCAGAGTTTCAAACAAATAGCTATCAGAGTTTCAGAAAAATATCTATCAGAGTTTCAAACAAACAGCTATCAGAGATTCAGATAAATAGCTATCAGAGTTTCAAACAAATAGCTATCAGAGTTTCAGAAAAATATCTATCAGAGTTTCAAACAAACAGCTTTCAGAGATTCAGATAAATAGCTATCAGAGTTTAAAACAAATAGCTATCAGAGTTTCAAACAAATATCTATCAAAGTTTCAGACAAATAGCTATCCAAAGTTTCAGACAAATAGCTATCAAAGTTTCAGACAAATAGCTATCAGAGTTTCAGACAAAAAGCTTTTCAGATAAATAGCTATCAGAGATTCAGACAATTAGCTATCAGAGTTTCAGACAAATAGCTATCAAGAGTTTCAGACAAATAGCTATCAAGAGTTTCAGACAAATAGCTATCAAAGTTTCAAACAAAAAGCTATCATAGTTTCAGAGAACAAGCTTTCAGAGTTTCAGACAAAAGGCTATCGGAGATTCAGAAAAAAAAGATATCAGAGTTTCAGAAAAATAGCTATCAGAGTTTCAGAGAAATAGCTATCAGAGTTTCAGACAAAAAGCTACCAAAGTTTCAGACAAATAGCTATCAGAGTTTCAGACAAAAAGCTACCAAAGTTTCAGACAAATAGCTATCAGAGATTCAGAGAAATAGCTATCACAGTTTTAGAGAAATAGCTATCAGAGTTTTAGAGAAATAACTATCAGAGTTTTAGAGAAATAGCTATCAGAGTTTAAGAGAAATAGCTATCAGAGATTCAGAGAAATAGCTATCAGAGTTTCAGAGAAATAGCTATCAGAGTTTCAGAGAATTAGCTATCAGAGTTTCAGAGAAAAAGCTTTCAGAGTTTCAGACAAAAGGCTATCGGAGATTCAGACAAAAGGCTATCGGAGTTTCAGGTAAAAAATATTATTTTCAGGCTAGAGAAGGATACAAACCTTTAACAAAAACTGGAGCTTTTCCTTCTGGTTTCTCTTCAAAATGTTCAACTTGTTCGGGAACAATGGACGTCTCCTGGCTTACAAGTTGATACTCTCCTTCCTCGAGAGTTTCTTTTGGAGCAGTTTCTTTCTGCGGACTCAATTCTGTTTCCTTCTCTTCCGCAGGCTTTTCTTGAACTAATGCAACTGTTTCTTCTGTACTCTTCACAGAAACTTCGATAGTTTCGGTAGTAGTTGTGTCGAAAGTAGCATCCGTTGGTTGGACACTTGTGTCTTCTTCCAACGTAAATTCTTGAGAAACAGTTTCCACTATTTTCTTTGTAACTAAAGTTTTTGAAACTACCTCCGTCTCAACTGTTTTATCGTCTCCAATTGTGTCGATCGTGATTACCCCGGTTGTTTCCGGGACACGTTTTTCACTTTCACCGATATCCAGACCCTCCACGATCTCTGTAGGTTTGTCAACTATTGTTGTACTTTCATCCGATTGTGGGATTTCTGTTAATGAGATAAAGTATTGGAATTTTAATATTGTATCCTTTATATCACAAACACATGACAATATTATGGAATAAGCAGACTTCTTTAATCAAATATTAAACACATAACGTTCCAACAGAGGTTACATCTGATGACAAAACGTGTAAATTGTGTTAAAATGTTATGTGTTTAATAATTATTATTAAAGGGATACTACGTCTTAGAATGAACATAAAATTTAAACATTTTAAACTTGGTCAATAAGAGCATATATTTATCAGTAGATATACCTGGTGTCATGAATAACATAACAGGATCCTTATATAATCCGATAAATCCAAAAAACTTAGTAATTATGCAATTAACTATTGAAAAACACTTAATATTAACATTAATAATAACTAATAATGTCTTAGTTATATGAATTTTCCAGATTTTAGAGGTATTCTGTATACTTTATGACACCAGGGGTGTTGTCTGATGAATATATACTCATATTGACCATTCTTGAGACCTTAAATTTTATGTTCATTCTAAGATGTAGTATCACTTTAAAGAAGTGTGCTTATTGCGTAATATTGTCATGTGTTTGTGATATGTACCGCCTCACTTCTAAATGCAGTTTAAGTCTTATATAGTTTATATTTAAATATTATGAAACATATAAAATGAAAAAACATTATCTATTCATCGCATGATATTTCAAAGAAATTGAATAATCAAAATTGAGCGACTTTGCTGAAAGTTTCAAGAATCTATTTCATAAAATCATAAATAATAAAGCCTAATTTTTTATCAATGTTTTTCATGCTGATTAGCACTTACTTAATTAGGACATTTGGACTTACTTCTATTTTAATTAATGATTAAGCTTTTTATGGCTGATCAATATTTACTGTTAGGAGATTGTATGACTGATTAAAACTTGTTAACGAAATTGCTATTTTAGCATATTGATAAATTTGATAATCGATTAGGGTTAATTTTTAACTTGTGACAGGTGATTATACTGATAAGAAGCTGAATTTTGATTGCTGATTAGGAGCTGTTTTTTGATTGCTGATTAGGGGCTGACTTTTGGTTACTGATTATGAACTGAATTTGATTACTGATTATGAACTGAATTTGATTACTGATTATGAACTGACTTTTGATTGCTGATCAGGAGCCGACTTTTGATTGCTGATCAGGAGCCGACTTTTGATTGCTGATCAGGAGCCGACTTTTGATTGCTGATCAGGAGCTGACTTTTGATTAAGAGATGACTTTTAATTACTGATTTTTAGCTAAATTTTAATTACTTACTAGGAACTGAATTTTGTTTACTGATTTTTAGCTGAATTTTGATAAGTGATTTGGAACTGACCTTCGGTTACTGATTAGGAACTGAATTTTGGTAACTGATTGGGAACCGATGTTTGGTTACTGATTAGAGCTAACTTTTGATTACTGATTAGGAGTGATTTTTTATAACTGACTAGGAACTGACTTGCAATTTGAAGACTGATTATGAGCAGAATTTTGATAACTGATTAGGAACTGACTTTCGGTTACTGATTAGAAATTAACTTCCGATTGTTGATTAGGTGGTGACTCTTAATTTCTGATTTTTAGCTGAATTTTGATAGGATTACTGATAAGCATTGAATTTTGATTACTGATCAGAACCTATTTTCTATTACTGATGAGAACTTTTGACTTCTGAAGAGGACTCTAAATTTACTTTTAGTGCTACATTAGTATCTGCAAGTTTTTGGACAAATAGCTATCTGTGGTAAGTTCTTACTGGACAAATAGCTATCTGTGGTAAGTTCTGACTGGACAAATAGCTATTTGTGGTAAGTTCTGACTGGACAAATAGCTATCTGTGGTAGGTTCTAACTGGACAAATAGCTATCTGTGGTAAGTTCTGACTGGACAAATAGCTATCTGTGGTAGGTTCTGACTGGACAAATAGCTATCTGTGGTAAGTTCTGACTGGACAAATAGCTATCTGTGGTAAGTTCTGACTGGACAAATAGCTATCTGTGGTAAGTTTTGACTGGACAAATAGCTATCTGTGGTAAGTTCTGACTGGACAAATAGCTATCTGTGGTAAGTTCTGACTGGACAAATAGCTATCTGTGGTAAGTTTTGACTGGACAAATAGCTATCTGTGGTAAGTTCTGACTGGACAAATAGCTATCTGTGGTAAGTTCTCACTGGACAAATAGCTATCTGGGGTGAGTTTTAACAAGTTCTAACTGGACAAATAGCTATCTGGGGTGAGTTTTAACAAGTTCTAACTGGACAAATAGCTATCTGGGGTGAGTTTTAACAAGTTCTAACTGGACAAATAGCTATCTGGGGTGAGTTTTAACAAGTTCTAACTGGACAAATAGCTATCTGTGGTAAGTTCTGACTGGACAAATAGCTATCTGTGGTAAGTTCTGACTGGACAAATAGCTATCTGTGGTAAGTTCTGACTGGACAAATAGCTATCTGTGGTAAGTTTTGACTGGACAAATAGCTATCTGTGGTAAGTTTTGACTGGACAAATAGCTATCTGTGGTAAGTTTTGACTGGACAAATAGCTATCTGTGGTAAGTTCTGACTGGACAAATAGCTATCTGTGGTAAGTTCTGACTGGACAAATAGCTATCTGTGGTAAGTTTTGACCGGACAAATAGCTATCTGTGGTAAGTTCTGACTGGACAAATAGCTATCTGTGGTAAGTTCTAACTGGACAAATAGCTATATGTGGTAAGTTCTAACTGGACAAATAGCTATCTGTGGTAAGTTCTGACAGGACAAATAGCTATCTGTGGTAAGTTCTGACTGGACAAATAGCTATCTGTGGTGAGTTTTAACAAGTTCTGACTGGTCAAATAGCAATGAAATGCTGGATAAGAATCGGTTTGTGCTTTTGGAAGATCATGGTTATTCTTTTCAGAGCATTTTGTACTAATTCTACTCTTGTTGTACATTTAATAACTAAATAGGAGAGTTCCTTGTCATACTGAGTGATAATTTTATGGCTTATTCTAAAATTTTCAGATTATTATCATTAGAGGTTAATACTATCTATATTTATAATGAGATTTTTGACTTGTACATACATTAGATTTATTAGCTGATAATGCATGTGATGAATTTCATTTTAAAATTTAGATAAATGTACATGTAGATTGTTAAGACATGTGTTCAGCATGAAAATGGTTCTTTGATTCAAGATACAACCTGATTTTTATATTCTTTATGAAAAGAAACACCTGCCCTGACTTCACTTCACAAACATTTCCCAAAACATTTAATAACTACCTCTTAGAATGA